TACACACATGCACCTAAGACAACAACATGAAAAAATCGTAATGACAATAAAACAACAGATTTATCACAGAAGGGGAACTGGAAGACTCACAGGAACAAACAATAACTTGTACTTGTGTCATGATGTATGTAGCGGTTAGGACTTCACCGTCACAAGCAGAACCGCGCGCTCGTGTGACTTTGTGCAGTTGCGAGCGCCGTAAAAGACTTTTAAAACAAACAAACAAAACAACAAAAACAAAAAAAGGCAGAAAACGTGAGCTCGATTCACAGGTGCGGAGATTCTTTTTTAAATCGACCACATACACTCCCATGTGTCTGCTGGGATTTTGTGCCCCTCTCTTCGGGGTTTGCCATGACAGGGGAGATTGACACCCGCCTAAGAAATAACCGAAATTGTGTCGTTCAGCAAAAAATCGACTTTGGCCCAGTCTTGTTCTCAGGTCTTCAATTTTCGAATTGATCAAGAAATTAACTGACACCCACCACATGGCGATCATATGACCTTATGCATTGCGAACACCGTAAAACCTTACTAAAACTAAACTAAAGGATATTTTTTAGAGTGCCATACAATATTCCATATCAGTGGTTCCACCATGACTGGGCCACACCTCCCAAAGGTTGTGAGTTTTGGTTTAGTTTAGGAAGAGCTTTATGGCACGTGCAACACAAGAGTCAACGGTTACACGTGTCTCTAGAGAGCAACATAATGCACAGAAAAAACGAGGAGGAGAGATACGAACGAAGGGTTTTTGATAGGAAAGGAAGAACGAACCAGACCAGAGCACGCGCCAACCACCGATGAGTTGTTTTATAAGTGTCGGGCGACACTTTGAACGCGTGAAATAAAGAAACAGTAGTTACTGCTCACAATTACATGGAATTCCGTGCTTCAAATGTTAATGTTAATTTCATTCAGTGCGCAAAGGTCTGCAACAAAGAACAGGCACATTTTTTGTGTCTGCATTTTCACGGGTTTCGGCTTCAATAATTTTGACTTTTTTTC